CACGTGAGGCAGAAGGCAAAATTTTGCCTTCAAGCACGAATAAAGAGGAATGCACCAGAGGAGTTTGCTGCCCAAGTAGGGATCCATCCAACTCGCACAAACCAATCACAACTCACGCGCCACGGCGTACACTATGCACCAGCCCCCTAAAACGAATAATACCCAAAGGACTAAGAAGCTAGACGAACGTGCGAAAACATTTAGAGAAGCTGAGCGAGCACTGGTTAGCGCGATTGCAAATTACAAAGGGAACAGGAAACTTGCGAGGGACATACTTTTCGCAACAAGCTTCCACTAGGAAAGTAGATGCTACTCGTTCGTAAGTCAAAGCCACCCAAATGGCAATTACCCGGGGGACATGCTTTTCGCAAGGCATCTTCCACTAGGGAAGCGCAGGCAACTTGTAGGCAAGTCAAACCCAACCTAACAACAATTACTCAAGGGACATAACTTTTCGCAAGGAGCTTCCACTAGGAAAGTGTTGGCAACTTGTAGGCAAGTTAAAGCCAGCTTAATGGCAATTAACCGAGGGACATAGCTTTTTGCAAGGAGCTTCCACTAGGAGAGCGCAGGCAACTTGTAGGAATCCCATGAATGCACCAGTGGAGTTCGCTGCACAGGTAGGGATCCATCCAACTCGCACAAACCAATTACAACTCATGTGCCACGACGTACACTATGCACCAGCCCCCCAAAATGAATCACACCACGAAAGACTAAGAAGCCCGACGAACGTGCAAAAACATTTAGAGAAGCTGAGCAAGCACCGGTTAGCATGACCGCAAATCACAAAGGCAACAAGTGACTTCCGAGGGACATAATTTTTGCAACAAGCTTCCACTAAGAAAACATAAGCAACTTATACGTAAGTCAAAGCCAACCTAGTGGTAATTACCCGAGGGACATGCTTTTCGTAAGGAAACTTCCACAAGGGAAGGCAGACAACTTGTAGGCAAAAGTCGATGCCAACCTAATAGAAATTACCAGAGGGACATACTTTTCAAAAGGAGCAGGGCAAGCTAGGCTGTTGACAAAACCGTAAGTAGGCCAGGCTGCCAAGGCTGCCCGTGGGCCAGGCTGCCAAGGACATGCGCATGACATAAAGTCAAGGCCGCGCGCAGGCTAGGCTGCCATGCTTCCAAGGCCACGCGCATGCGATGCTTCCATGCTGTCTTGGATGGGCGCATGCCATGCTACCAAGGTCACGCGCAGGCTAGACAGCCATGCTGCCTAGGCCGCTGGCATGCCATGTTGCCTAGGCCTGAGGCTTGATATACTTCCAAGGCCGTGCGCAGGCCAGGTAGCCACGCTGCCTCGGCCATAGGCATGCTAAGCTGCTAAGGCCGTGTGTAGGCTAGGCAACCATGCTGCTAGGCCGCGGGCATGCCACGCTACCTAGGCCACTCGTAAACCAGGCTACCATGCTGCCAAGGCTGTAGGCTTGAGATGCTACTAAGGCCACGTGCAGGCTAGACTACCATGTTGCTAGGACAGCGGGCATTCCATGCTGCCCAGGCCGCGCGCAGGCCAAGCTGCTAAGGACGCGCGTAGGCCAGACTAGCATGCTGCTGAGGCCACGGGTTTGACAAGCTGCCAAGGCCGCGCACAGGCCAGGCTGCCACGCTACCTAGGCCGCGAGTAGGCCATATTGCCAAGGCGGCGCGTAGGCTAGGCAACCAGGTTGGCTAGGCCATAGGCATGCTATGTTGCCTTCATCATGCGTAGGCCAGGCTGGCATGTTGCCTAGGCCATGGGCATGCCATGCTGCCCAGGCTGCGGGCACGCCTTGCTGCCAAGTCGGCCTGGCTGTGAACATGCCATGCTGTAACGTCAAGGGTGCGGACCTGGATGCGTGCACGGCAAGCTGGCATGTCGTGCACCATGGCATAGGCGTGGCCTATAGCCTGGCCATGCTGGCTAGCCTTAAGGGAGGTGTCATCCCTTATAGTAGCTTGTTAACCCTTTTCCATCTGGCAGGAAGAAACATCACCTATGCTCGAGGAGTCATAATGGGATTTTTTTTAAAAAATAACGTTTTCTTTCATAAATTTTCAATCATAACTCAATGAAAATAACTCAAGAAACCATAAAAAAATATAAATAAATAAAATAAAAACCGAAATATTTTATCTTAATTTATTTCTATTTTAATATTTAAAAATAATGAAAATTAGAAAAAATAGTGAAAAAATTGTAGAAATGAATCCAATAATTAAAGGATAAGGCACTTGTAATTATAGTAATTTTTTTTAAAAAAAATTAATTTTTATTTATTTTATTATAATTTTTACAAATAAATAAATATTTAAAAAATTCAAAAAATTCAAGAAAAATAGCCAAAAAAAAAAGGAAATGACATTAAAAAATTATACTAGTGCATTATTAATTATATACGGCATGGTTTAGGTAAGAATATAAAAGAATCATGTTCAAAACAAGCGTTAAAAATGTACGAAGTACGGCACATTGTCGGATAAAGCTCTAAAAGACACAATAAGTGATACAAAACAACCAATGCAATGTGACATGAAATAATTTGCATTTGGAAAAGATGATGATGCCTCGAAAAGTATTCGCAGATCGATGTGTGGCGGTAGGGGATACGGCCTGCGCCGCGGCCTTGGCGGCGGCCTGGTCTGCGGACTGTGCTGCGGCT